CTTTTGCTCCTTCTTTTGTATAAGGCTACATGTGGTAATGAAATATGTTTAGGTGGATATTGATTCGTGTATATCGTTTTTATTTTTTTTGAAACAATGTGGGACAATGTTATGAGCAAATTAATGTGATCACATTGGTGAACTATTGGAAAAATTACAACCAAATTATGTTAAGCCTTTCCACTTGGTGACACAGCTGAAAATTGGAATGAAATATGAAGGTGGACAACATAAATATAATTGCAAACCCAACATTGACTTTGGATTGGATAGGAGTGAAGGTTAAAATTGTAATTTAATGTGAAATTAAAGGGATTTGACCCAAAAAAATAAAGGTAATTATGTGGGCCCCATAATATACCAAATTACTTCCCCAATCAAATATAGGATTACATAACTTCATTTGTATCCTATCTACGTCCGGGGTATTGGGTTTTCATTGGATAGGTTTGGATTAAAAAGCCAAACCAATCCTATCCCCCAAAGATTTGCCAAACACCCCCAAAAAGTATAGTACTGTAAGAAAAAAAAAATCTATTTTTTAAAGAGATTTTAATATCCCAGTTTTTATTTTTGATTTTCAATTTTCTAAAATATCAAGCATTTGAGTATAATTCATTATGTTTAAATGAGTTTTCCATCACTACTTTTTTTTTTGTTCAATTCTATCACTACATGATAGCTGATCAATCGTCAAGAAAACAAGGAAAAGTATGCTTGTCAACTGTCAACTATTATTAATTTCTTAATTGAACTAAGGCTTAAATCCACCTTCCTCCAAGTGAGCTAGTTAAAATATCGATATGAATCAGACTTAAAATGCTGTGAATTTGAATACTACTTGAAAACCTAATTTAATCATGTAACAAATTTTAAATTTACAATATCTATTTGAATTTGTTAAAAGTAAAAAAATATGATTTGAAAATTGTCTCAGAGCTTTTTATTAATTGTCCGAGAGACTGCTACCAAATATGGTTAGCGCTCCCCTTCTGTCTCAATTTGCCTAATGCCCATTAAAATGGAGAAATTTTTAGATCATATCATGAAGGTGGTATTCCCGTACTCTCTATCTTCATGAAAGGGATGGATTGAACAATTATCATTAAAATAGAATTTTTGGCCATGGTACAATTCAAAACATATAGTCTATGACTCAACATTTCTCTCAATCCCTCTCTCTCTCTAGCCTTCTTTTCTCTCTCTCTCTTAGGGGTTTGTCATTTGTGTATCAATTGTGCATTACAAGAGACAGAAGCAGGTGCAGGGTATTGTTTAGAGTTTAAACACCAAAACAGAATATTCTCTGCAGGTAACAGAAAAGTTTTATGGTTTTGGAATATATACTTTTGTGATGTTGTAATTTTTGTTTATTTCATTATATTTTTATTACTTTTTATTTTTAATTATTAATTATAAATAATTTAAAATTTAAATCAATAGCTAAGATTGAATTTTGATACGATATCCATTTTTGTGCCATTTCCTTTATCCTAAGTATGTTTGTCAACGAATTACATATGTACTAGATTCTACTAATATTCGAATCCAAATTCGATCATACTTTACATGATCTGATTGTCTGAAGGATTTGGACTTTTTAATTTATATCCGAATCTATTAACTCTCGAATATCTTGTCCAGAAATATGATCTGATCTATTTATGTACAAAGTAAAATCAACCTACAAATATCTCACAAATTATAACAAATTCAATTTCGTACCTAAAAAAAAATTAACTAAATATGAATATGTCATCCTCAATTTTAGTTATAAATGGAGAAGAAAGATAATAGGAAACAAATGTAGGAGATGAAAAGATGTCTGTGGATATACATTCAAAGGATATAAAATATAAAAATAGAAGGTATATATATAATTCGGATTGGATTGTTAACGGATCAGATTTTGATAAATCCAAATTTGAATCTATTAAATATAATATAACATATTCGAATTTGGATTCGGATAATCGATAAAAATTATTATTTCGTATCCAGCTAATCGAATTTGAATTCATTAACAGACCTAATCCCAAGTAACATGTCCAATTGACTACATTGACTTCCCAAAGATGTGAAATTTTCTTCGCATGATTCCATAATTCTTTTGGGGTTAGGTTAGGGCCACTATCTAAAAAAACAAAAAGAATGTCCTTGTGAATAATAACACGTGTTATGAGGGCTTGAAATGAATATTAATTTCCCTATAAGTAAATTCCTGTTCCATTGGCCATTGAGGAGGAGGTGTGTGGATTGGTTTATAAATTGTTGAGATTCTATGGAATGTAGTTTTTTTAAATTATGAGTTAGAATTTTGATTTTCCTTTTCTACTAAAAGTGCCAACTATTTCTTGTCTTTACCGTTCTGCAACTCTTGTCATGATCACTGTGGCATATTTGTCTCCTACTATCTTTTTGATTTTGTATTTTTCTTTAAGCAACACCACACTATGCTTCTGTCTGTCTTACTATCGTCCTTTAATCGAAAGTGTCATCCTCTTGACTATGTAGTCTCCTTTATTTGAGAAAAATCAAGTGAAGCTGGTACCTCCATTTTTCAATGTCCAGCAAAATGACAAACCTATGATTTTATGAAGAAGAGGCCAGTGCTCTTCAATCCTTCTCTATTTTGATCTATTAGGGTGTGTTTACTTTAGATATTAAGTTAAGGAAATGGAATAAAATAATGTGTGGGCTGACCTTGACAAATTTTGTTACACTTGCCAAAACACGAGATTTTGCAATCATTGACAAATTTTTCGGTAGCATGAACTTTACTCTGATGTTATTTAGTGTGTTTATAATCAACGATCGTTAATGAATCCACCAATTTATGAAATTTGAGAGCATTATTGACAAACATGTTGACAAAATATCATGTAGAAAGAGTGACAACATTATCCTTGAGATAATTTAATCCTTCAACGACAACATTTCTAGATTTTGTATAGGGACTGAAAAAGTAAAAATGCAGAGAAATGATGTGAGTATGATATTTGGGATTTAAGATAGTTTCGAGGAAATTGACTCAACATTTCATGGGAGGGTGTTGACTCCATTTGTTGAACGGAGATCTAAAAACGATCAAACGTTGACAACACTAATGATAAAAATTAGGTTTATCCAAGCAACAAGAGGGGGCACATAAAATGATTTCAAGGATGTTGTCAAATTACTGTGTCTTTACTTGTCAGTCATTGTGTTTTTCCCACAACAGGGCACACACTAAGCTAGGGGTATGTACCATACATAAAAGATTTAGATGGGATTAGAAATTATAATTGGTCTCAATCAATATTCAATGCACTGATATTATCTGTTACAAAGAGAGAGAGAGAGAGAGAGAGAGAGAGACCTAACATAGTCATTGGATGCATCCTTCTAATACCATCAGTGGTTTAAATAAAAGTAATATGTTCAATTTTATTTCCTTGTTCTTTTATAAACATCACACATTTGTTTTAATGTTGAATTTAAATATTGCAATTTTGGATTTGTGAACACACATCAATTATCACACCAGATTGCTCAAATGCATTTCCAAGGTTTCTCAAATGGAACTTAACACACCCGAGCATGGCAATCAAACAAAAAAAGTTGGCAAAAATCAAGACCAAAGATGTAAATTTCAATATTTTCTTATAGTTAAAATATAAGCATACAAAATGTTTAAAAAATTTGTTGTCACTGTTTGTTGTCTCTGTTTGTTTACAAGTGATGAAGAAAAGATTGAAGAAGACAAAAAAAGAAAAGGTGTTTATCATATCACAAATGATTGTAAAAGAAAAAAAAACAAGTCGATGTGATTGAGAGGAATGAAATTATCGAAGGAAAAACATCAAAGTACCCTGTTGATTATAAGGGCAATGAGCTACATGAAGAATAACATGTTGATTATGATGGAGGGGATAATATTGGAGAAGAGAATCAGTAAATGAGGCCTTTAGATGCTCTAGTTTATGTGATTCTTAGTTACTCAACACATAAACAATCTTCTAAACAGTTTGTTTGTAATGAAAATGAAAAAGAGAAAATCATGAGAGAAACAGATGAAGCTATGAGACTTGTTTCTGAGATGAGGCAGAAAAATCAATCAAACCAAGAAAAAATTGAGAAGCTATCAAATGATAATGAAGTTCATAGAACAATCATACGAAATATTGTCAGCAAAGAGCGTGAACAGGTAACTAGTACAACAACTTTATTAAGAAGTTATTTTTAAAAAAATTATGTATTGTTAACTCTTGGTATCACACTTTTACAATCCATATAAAGACTGATAAAAGACTTATCAAACTTGTACTTTGTGGGTTTGAATTATAATTTTATTCAAGTTCAACTATTACATTTTAGCTATTTGGGGTCACTATATATGGGCTACCATTTTGTGTCACTCTTTCTATGGATTAGGTTGTGCTAATGACACCATTAAAATGCACTATTTAATGGCACTATTTCAATGACCCCCAAATTTTTAAGCAACTTTTGTTCATTATATCACTATATGTTGCAACTATTTGGTGTCACTATTTAGGGTCACTCTTTATATGAAAATAGGAGATTGTCTCTATTTAGTGACACTCACTATTTGTTACTCTTTGTTGTCACAACATTCTGGAGTGTAACAAGACAACCAGTCATTTTATTCTTTCATGGAAACTTAAGTCACGAAAATTGATTGATCGTGACACACAAATATTAGATCTTGAGGGTTCGGCTGAACAAACGAGAAAAGAAAAGGACACATCCGAGGCTAAAAATGTACAACTGAAACAAATCATGACACGACTTGAAGTAGAAAATAAAGAGATGATAGACCAGATTAATGAGTTGTTTGTTCATGTCATAACCCAAAAATATGAGACTACTCATGTTCCTAAAGTACTTCCACATAGTGCTGAAGATAAAGGAAAGAACAAATCTGCTATAAAAAAAAGAGGACAAGAAGTTGAGTAAGAAAAAGAGATACAACGGATTTGAAGAAGGGTCAAACATCAATGGTTCGAAAGTTGAAAGCAAAGGAGAGGAAGAGAAAAATGGATGCAGTCTATGAGTACAACTTGAAGAAAAAAACTAAGGAACAGATGGAAGCATCCAATGACATTATCACCATTGTTGATTCATCAGACAAGACAAGAGCAAGGCAAGAGAAAGAAAAGTGTGAAAAGGAGATGAAAAGGTTGTTAAAAGTTTTCCAATCAATGGATCCATCATATACAAAAAATTAAGACAGATTGAACAAGCAGAAAGAACTATGCAAGTATATTGTATCATTTATTTCATGTTCTCACTAATTTGTGAATCTTGTTTATTTTTTGGGGGCTAGTTTTCATTCTTTTGTGTATGTTGTTACTCTTTCATTTTTTAAGTATCATCACATTATAACTATGTAGGTCAACAATATGATTCGAAATGTCTGTGGGAAGCTACATAAATGTCAAAGATACTTTGAAAGTGATGGGAGGATGTGACCTTTTCAACAATGTACGTACTATAGTGGTTAAATTTTGTCCTTCATTTTATGAAAATGTTTCTTTTTTCAACCTTGTTTTATTATTACATATCATATACTATTGGGGAGATATGTTGCATGAACTTGATGAAGCCAATGAACAATCAACATTTAAGAGATGTTTTTTCTTCAACAGTCGTTGTTGGGTAAGTTGAAATGAAATGAATGATTATAGAAATACTAAAAATCTTTGAAAATATGCATCTATGACATATTTAACCGTCCACTTCACAAAATATGTAGACCTTGCTGACTTCCCTAAGGTTAGCTCATGCACGTGAAGCTGAAATTGACAATAACATCCTACGTGGGAGAGAGTGTCAATACCTCGTATTTCCCATGAATTCAACCGGTGAAAGCGATGATGGACAGCTAAACCATTGGACACTTCTAGTATTGGATACTAATTGTGGCAATTGGATACACTATAATTCGTAAAAACCAAGAAGTGGGATTAGGGACATTTGACTCAAAGATGCAACCATATTGGTAATCAAATACCTATATACATCAATTTATGGAATTTTATAAGTTGCAATCATTTTACTATATTTCAATCCATTGTTGCTTACTTTGAAATGCAGAAAGATTATGTTGAACAAAATATATCCAATATGCAAATGCCAAAAGAAATGTTAGTCGACACTCAGACAAAGTTCTTCCAATTCAATTGTACGACAAATGTCCACAACAAAGATCTAACTCATACATATTTAACATAATGCTTTATGAATGAATAAATACACATATTGATACTAAAAAAATACATATAATGTAGTGTCGATTGTGGCCTATATGTTTGTTACATAATGAGGAAAATAGCACCTGGCAAAGAAATACAAGAAAAATTAACAGCAACACAGATGAAACATTTCAATCAAAAATGATTGGACTACTCCTAAACCATCCCAAATCTTGGACGGAAGAAGATTTCAATGAACGAAAGAAATTGAAGACAAAATATGGAGACAAAGAGTAACCGGATATATTGCATATATCTGTACTTTAAGAATGTTGAAAATTTATTGCATATTTGCAAACTTTGACTTGACAAGTTTTGAAATGTAATTTAAGGTTTCAATTTTTGGGCTTGAAGAACAATTTTATTAATGTTCAATTGTTTTAGCTTATATATTTGGTGAGACTCTATATGGGGCTACTGTTTAATGCTACTATTTTGGAACTGTATATGTTGTCACTATTTCCTATCACTATATTTTGTAACTCTTTACACAACAAAAAACATATAAAGCACCATCATAGGGATCAAACATAATATTTCATGTTTCCCATTTTTTTAAGGATCTTTTGTTCATAGTGTTTGTATTTTGTATTAATTTATTGTCACTATTTCCTGTTGCTTCAACCTAGGTGTTGGGCGACGCCTTCAGCTCCTTTGGTGTTTCAAGAGGCAACACCTCTGGTTGGACCCAACCATTGGGTGACATTTATGGGTCGAATGGGCATGGAGGGCCGAAGAAGCTGAGGAGCAGCCGAGGTGGAGCTAGAGTGACCCAATCCATGGGCGACGTCAATAGAGAGATTGGCTCCACTAGGGGCGGCGCATGTATGCTGGGACCATTAGATAATGCTAGGCATGCGCTGGGCATGCCAGGCGGACGTTGTAGGTTGGGCACTATTTGTGACGATTTGGGCAGCCACAACGATGAAATTTCCCAAGGTGAGGTGGCCACTTAACTTTCCGGCTCCGGAATTAACCTGATATCGAGTCTTTCTTGACATCGATTCTATTTTTTTGGCAGGCGCTCATTCTAACGGAGGCATGTTGAAGGAAGCTACACGAGACTTGCAGCAAGGCAAGAGGATTGCTGAAGGTGACAGTTTCTAAGGTAATCTCCATTTTTTGTTCAATAGATCGTGATGATGATATTTTGCGCATTGTCTCCTCGTTCCGTTTTCCTCCTACTGTTTTATCTCGTCGGGCCAAGGGGGACAAGCCGGCATGTCATGACTTATTTGGAGAGATCGCCCTTTATTAGGATGTCCTAGAGGCGGCTTTGAGTTTCCAATACCTGGACCCATATGTCGGATTCTGGGACACCTATCGTTGGCTCCTGGGAGGTTGACCCCCAACGGGTGGAGAGTGATCCTAGCGTTCTTCTCATTGTGACTGCTAGTTCATAGTGCTGATGTCCCTCCCCCCTTCGTGGAGTTTTTGGCCACGTACATGCTTCTAGATAATCCTTCTCCTCATCAAGGGTGGTGTCGTTTTGCCTTGAGGTCAGGCAAGTTCATCACAAGACTTCCTTCCAATTGTCATAGCTGGAAGTTTAGATTCTTCTTTATTGGAGATGAGTGGGTCACCGAGGGAGACTGTGACCTAGGGCCTTTATGTCTCGTTGTCACGTATAATTATCTACATTCTTGCAAGCTTTACTTTGACTAATCTTCTTTACACTTTTTTGTTGAGATTGTTTAGTTTCTTGTTATGTGATTGTTTCCTTACGCTTGAACTCATATTTTTTTGTTGATGATGACTATGTTTTTGCCATGTTCTATGTAAAGTTATACATGTTATAAAAGAATGAAATAGTTAATAGTGAATAAACACAAATCAAGAAAAACAAAGGACAAGTTCAAATAATTAATGAATAAATTTCCTCCAATACTTGATCCATGGTTTATCTACACGGATACAATCCATTTTTTATAAAGTTTGTCATGCCCAAGCAATGATAATTGGTTGTCACTTTATGGTGTCACTCTATGGTCACGGATAATTTTTTTAACATCTTTAACTGGACACAAGAAATGTTCAAATTCTCAATAGAGATACACCATACTATAACACCAAGTCTATAGTTAGTGAAACTTCTTAAAATTTGATTCTTAATATTAAATACATTTGTTTTCCATAAATTATAAGAGTTTCACAACCTCACTCAAATTAGGACATATTTTTTATGTTTTGTGATTTTTAAGGGAAAAAAAATTAAAATAGTTGAATTTCTTTTTGTTGGAGATGACCCAATGAAGTTGAACTAAAGATTCCCAATAATTCTATCTAAATAAAGCTTTCCAAAGCAATCGAAAGATTGCGGCGACCAAAAACCTAAATCAACATCGAAGAGCTTCAAAATCTAAATAAAGATACACCATTTTGTAACACCATGCCTATAATTAGTGAAACTCTTATAATTCATGGATAATGAATGTATTTAACATTAAAATGCAAATTTAAAGAAATTCGCATTCAAATTAGGGCATTGTATTTTATGTTTTGGGATTTTTCAAGGAAGAAAAAAATTAAATAGATGAATTTCTTCCAATTAGTGATGACCCAATGAAGCCGAAGTAAAGTTTCGCAATAATTCCAGCAAAATAAAACTTCCAAGAGTAACATAAAGATTTCAACGACCAAAAACCCAAACCAACGTCGAAAAGCTTCAAGTTGTCAATAGAGATACACTATACTATAACACCATGCTACAATACGTGAAATTTCTTAAAATCTAATTGTTAATGTTAAATAAATTCGTTTTCCATTAATTATAGAGAATTTCTTAATTTCTCAATCAAATTAGGGCTTACTCTTTTCTATTTTGCAGATTTTTCAAGTAATATTGGAAGAAAGTTTAAATAGTTGAAATTAATACCGCTAGAGATGACCTAATGAAGACAAAGTAAAGCTTTCCAAAGATTTCGTCGAAGTAGCACAAAGATTCCGGTGAAGTGTTTCCCAAATACTGTCGAAAAACTATATCAGCGTCGAACAATTTCTCCTTCGTTCTCCATATAAACGATCTCGAATGCAAGAATATCAGTATTTTTTGCTTCTATAAATATGGTGGATCCAAGATTCTGGCGACTGTAACCAACAATTCATTGGACAAATATGGAA